TGAGGTCAGATTTCACTCTTATTGCAACTTCAATTATTACTACTATTTTCTTTATGGGTTTTAGGATTCATTGCTACTTCTTCTGTTTCAATTTATATACAGCTTTTGGTGTTGACTTTACAAGGCTATAGAAAGATATACCATCATTCTTTTTGGAATATATTGAAAGGGGAAGAGTGTTATATAAAATAGAATACATGGAGTATTTATTCCAATTAGTATTAGAGTAGTTGTTCCTTAAGGTTGTTGTTTCCTGTTAGGTGTTAAAGGGTAATCCTTGGATGTTATCCACGAGGTCTATCAAGAATTGGAAGTTTTAGATGAGAGGATTTGCCTCAGTTAGTGAGGCACTCTATTCCAGTTGATAGTTTTTGTAAGTAAGATGCCAATATTGATTCCTAGGTTATCGGGAGCGAATGAAGAATAGTTAGAAGTTTTAATTGATCATTTAAGTGTGGAGTTGATGAAGTTAGTTTCTATAAGTGGAAACATTTAACACATTAGTGTTTAACAACTGAGGCAGTATGTAAGTAGAGCAAGTGATATGGGGATTAGCAGACAAAGTGGCTTTGCAAGAGAGGAAGAAAATCTCTACTTCAGTTTACCTGCAAAAAGTAAAGTTTCAACTCTATTTGAGTTGAAGTTGATGCAAATGAATGACCTAAGTACAAAAAGGGATCTAATTTATGAAATTCTGACAAACTTGTAAAATTGTAAGACCTTCTGAGTTTTAAACTGAAGATAATTTACCTTGAGCGAGGAACCCATATTTCAGCGTTTAGTTAGTCACCGTGTATCTTTCCTGTTTCTTCAATGTTATAAGCTTTCACACCTCCAGGTAGAACATGTTGTACTGCACAGTAAGATTTGATGTTTTGTCAATTAGTAGTCAATGCAACTGCTCCTTTGATGGAATTTATGGGATTAATCGACATTCACTTTGAGTGCTGTTATAGAAAGCATCATTAGTCTCATTTTGAAGTAAGATCCTCTTGATACTAGCTGAAACTTTGAATTTGGACCTCTTATTAATCATTCATTTGTATTTCAGTTTGACACGCTACTTAGTTATCATACATTTTCCTGCTTGTTGCTTGGAAAAATGGTTTTAGCTTGAATGTTCTCTAACTTCGTGTCTAAGTTGTCGTACTTGTTTGAATGTCAGCACATGGTAAAGCAACACCCTTCCTGAAAACTCCAACTTTTCAGAGAACATGTTGATAGCCACCATATTTGATCAATTAGACAGTGTTGTCCTGTGTCATGTGATAGCAGCTTGCAACTCACAATTAGAAGGCTGCAGTTTCTACCGCATGCTTTATTTAACTTCAGATAGGGCTTGTACAATGTTACATCAATCAACTGCAAGAAGCACTTTGTTCAAGCCTTTTTTTCTGAGAAAATAATATTTTTTTGGTCACTATGTTCAAGTCTTATCCTTCTGCTGATCAAATTTTTGATCTTACAACAAGCTGATATTTCCTGCCACAGAAAATGCAATCCCCTTTGTTTCAGTTCCTAATATATGCTGATTACAATCAAACTTGAAAAACTGTTTAGCCCCAACAAAGTACAATTCCGTCTATTTCAATTCATTTGATTTTTGGGAGAAGATAGTACGTGTTAGTGTAGCATTTCTACTTTAGATTTTAATATATTGGCCCGATACAGAACAAGGACAATTTTTGGGATCTCTATTTCCCTAATCATCATCAACATGGCCGCTATAATGGAGCGCGCTGATGAGAATCTCCTTCCAGCTGTTTATAAAGAAGTCAGTGAAGCTTTTACAGCAGGACCATCCGATCTTGGGTTTCTCACATTCATAAGGAACTTTGTGCAGGGAATTGCTTCACCAGTGGCAGGTATTTTAGTTTTAAACTATGACCGTCCCACGGTTCTTGCAATTGGTATCCTCTTCTGGGCCCTATCAACCGGTGCAGTTGGTGCGAGCAAGTATTTTCTGCAGGTTGGCTTCTGGAGAGCTATAAATGGCTTCGGTCTGGCAATTGTGATACCTGCTTTGCAGTCCTTCATAGCTGATAGCTATAAGGATGAAGTCAGAGGGACGGGATTTGGGTTTCTTAATCTAATTGGTACTGTGGGTGGGATAGGAGGCGGAGCTATAGCTACAGTTATGGCTGGTCATGAATACTGGGGCATACCAGGATGGCGCTTTTCCTTCATCGTGATGGCAACTTTGAGTTGTTTCATAGGATTTCTCGTCTTCTCTTTTGTCGTTGACCCAAGGAAGCAAAGCAGTGGCCAGCGTGATATATCAGAACACTCTGACAGGTAGTTGCTTGTATATATGTTCATCAGTTGTTCCATTTCCTGTGCTGTTGAGAGTTTCCTACTGTTTGGTGTTATTATTTTAATCCTTTCTCATGCTAGGGATGAATTGATAGAGAAAGGACACTCAAATATCAATTCAATGTCAATTTGGATGGAGTCCTGGACAGCCATGAAAACTGTCATCAAACTCCAAACGTTTCAGTTCATTGTTTTGCAGGGTCTAGTTGGATCCCTACCTTGGACAGCCATTGTTTTCTTTACATTATGGTTTGAATTAATTGGTAAGTGGCCGGTTTTCAGGAATTAGCATGTCGGGTTTTCTTGTGCTGATATAAAAAAATTTTAGTGTTAACTGCATGAACGGTGATCATAAACTTCTGATGCAGGTTTTGATCATAATAGTGCAGCCACACTTGTCGGTCTATTTGCTGCTGGATGCGCATTAGGATCCTTTTTCGGTGGAGTAGTTGCAGACAAAATGTCTCAAATATACCCTCATTCAGGACGTGTCATGTGTGCTCAATTTAGTTCTTTTATGGGCATCCCATTCTCATGGTTCCTTCTTCGAATTATCCCCCCGTCTGTAAGCAGCTATTCCACATTTGCTGTGACTTTATTCATAATGGGCCTCACAATCAGCTGGTGTGCTACTGCTACAAATGGTCCCATGTTTGCAGAAGTGGTGCCTTCAAAGCACCGCACCATGATTTATGCTTTTGATCGTGCGTTTGAGGGTTCATTTTCTTCTTTTGCTGCTCCAATTGTAGGGATTCTGGCTGAGAAAATGTATGGCTATGATGCCAAATCTGTTGATCCGATATTAGGATCTGCAAGAGAGGCTTTAGCGCTGTCAAAAGGTCTCTTTTCAATGATGGCCGTGCCTTTTGGTTTATGTTGCTTGTTTTACACCCCTTTGTATTGGACATTCAAGCAGGACCGTGACAATGCAAGACTTGCTGCTGCAAAAGAAACAGAGATGATATGACAATTCCACGCTTTTCATTTCTTTGTTTATTCATTCTTCTTGGATCTTTGGGCTCATTTGGATGTGGAGTTTCTTCTGTGAACCACTTAGATGAAATGCTGCTGTAGCCTGTAGGCCAAAACAACAGTGTTCCCTTCTAATTTTGCAGATATTTCATTTGGTGGTTGCATTAGGACAGCAGATTAAGTCTCCATTACACTTACCTCATCTAACAGATCATACTCAAAATTCAAAGATGTAAACAAGCAGACGCTGTTGTCAGGCATCAGGCACTCCAACATTGCAGTAGTTGTGTCAGCATTGGCAAACTGGAATAGAGAGAGGACAGGGTTTGCCTGTTTGTCTATGACTTTACTTGTAAATCCTGCCATTTTTGAAGTAAGAAGAAAGCCACGGAACTTTAACATAGCATCCTCTTATGTTGGTACAATATCTGACATTGAAGTTGAGGATTATGATATAAACGAAAAGCTCAAACACGACATCTTGTCAATATCACTCTCTTAAACGGAATTTAGTTAGTTAAGTTTTCTTCTTAGGCAATGCATCTTTCATCTATATATAACCTTTACATTTGTGTTCAGCCAACATAACAGTTCATTTCTTTTTCTAGAAGGAGATGAGAAGTAGTTCCAAGTTCCAACTTGAATGTAAAGCAACCAACCTGCCCACTTAATTGGTATCTGCTTCGACCAAAATCTGTATAAAGGAAATCAATATTTTCCAAATACCTAAATAGTGATATTTATTTTTAAAATATCCATTAATGGATACACGTCAAAGAACTTAAAGCTAAAAAAATTTTACTCCATGAAAATCAGACACTCAGATAACATGGCACTGCAAGTTTGCGGACACCATATACAACCCAGCAAACCTCAAAATGATACAGCATCTGATCAGGAACGCTACTGCCAGCATCAGAGGACAGGCTACACGACGCATTGCGTGAAGCTTATATTGACAACAGTTACACCATGCATAGCCCTTTTCACATTTGATTTAAACAACTCAGGATTATCTCCCAACACAACAGCAGCCTCGAGAATAAGGGGATCCTCATGGTTTGGTTCCTGCACAGGTGTAAAACGGGATGAAGTGACTGTATATTTATTGTACATATGTATGTGGCAAACTAAGATGTTGCACAGAACCATAATGTACCGTGAAATGAAGATACAATCCATAGCTAATTGTGTTAATGTTGAGAACAGGTTTCAATCTTCTCTAAGTATATTGAGGCATACATTTTACCCTCCAAATCAATATTAGGATGATATATACCTGCATCTCACACAGAAAGCTAATGAGAGTTATTTTCTCTGGTTCATGTCAGAATATATACGAGTGGAAGAGAAGGAAAAACAGCTGTACCTTGGTCTTGCACTTGACTTTTGGTGGTTCACGTGGATAGGTTGATGGAACCTGGAAAGAGAACAGAAACTTTCATATAAAGCATATGCCCTCCGTCATCAGAAATAGCAAACAAAGGAACACAAGAATTCATTGAAAAATCTCACCAGTCAATGCCTTTTGTGCAAGCATGAAGCAACACACAAATTTGCAGGTGCATTAGTCTAAACGATTAAAACTGTATGAAAGCACGACTTGCCATCGTTAGTCACTTAACTATAATGTTCTCAGCTGCCCATCTTTACTGATCCTCGGAACATTAACAAAATCAGAATAGATGAACCATATAATTCCCCGTTCTCTTACATGGCACAATTTTCCATTTTTAAGAAACAACCAAAGTCAAAAAAGTCTAGCCCATGTCAAGGGAAAATGGCCAGTGAAAGCGTTCACGAAAATCTGTCCAATGAGTGTCTTCATTCAAAATACTACAAATCACAACTTCTTATAAGTAAACTACTTAATTTTTTTAGAGTTGTGCGAGTAAGGCCTTCAAGAACAACTCCACATCTTTCCATTCAATACCTAGTAAAATCATAAGGAATATTGAAACTTTGAAAGGGTAAATTAGTACCTTGGTGGCACCAGCATCGAGGCTGCTGAAAACCAACTCCTTAACAACCCTTGTGAAATAATACAAGATAACCCCTGTGACTGAATTGAGCTCCAAATAGCCTCAGGCATTCGCTTAATGCTCCCCATCTCACTCAGAAGGTAAAAACAAATTCTTAAACATCCTCAACACACGCTGCAAGAATAACAACGTAGTTTTTTAAAAAAGATTTCTTGAATGGCTGGGAAAGCATGCAAATCATCAAAATGGTTGTATTTTGATGTCGCTGGTGTAAAGCAAGCATACGAAACCATAGTTAAAATGGACAGACAAAAAGGAAGCATTTACTGTCTCCATAAGCTGGGCTAAAAGTACCTAAGCACCAATATGTATGTTCCAAACTCAACTTCAGCTAGAATAAATAATCAAAACAACTCTACATACAGTAGTCATCAACATACTAGTTTTTCCAATTACAAGTAAAACCACAAAAATAGTAAATATAAGAACATCTGTTAAAAGACACTAATGAACACTTACAGTCAAACAGCCAATCAGTTTTGTAATGCATGCAATCCTAGAGACTACAACAACCATTCCAAGTTATGAACATCATAGTTGTCAGGCAAAAGAACTTATGTACAGCAGCATGAATACAAGAGAAAAGATGATGTCAGTCCAACATTTTGCAAAAACATTACCATATCTTTCTCCCATCAACACCAGTCCATTTCGTGAGACACCAGATCCTTTAAAAGAAAGTACAGCCTCATATGATGAAGTAAAATAATAAATTGAGCAGAACTTTCTGCACATCAAAATGCATTAGATCAATGTCAAAGTGGTATCAGGAACCACCAATTAATCAAAGTGTGAGACGCCAGAAGTGACATCGAGTATAGTATCCTGATTCATAATGTTCTCGGTTGCAGCACCACTCTACATCTCATATTGGAAAAGGTAAAATTCCATCATCTTAACAAAATAGAGAAGTCGCGCTAAAACATCCGAGATATAGCTAAGGTACTCAACTGTAATCTCTGGAGGGAGGTCCCTCCATTTTGTCTCAGAATATAAGAAACTCTTGAGTTTTTGTTGGTGCAGATTCTGAAAATGTGAATAAAAAATGTCAAGCATGGAGTTCTATTACAAGATCAGAACAAAACCAAGATGGCATCTGAAAGAGACTCGCCTAGGAGACTTAGAAAGAGACATTGTAATCTCTAATACTATCATGATTAATACGAATGCAGTCTAAGATTATCTTGAAAAGTGGGTGAAAGAAATGAAAATAAATAATTGAAAAAATTCAGCTCTTATTCAGGTCAGGAACAGATTGCAGGAAGGGTTAACCTTCCTTTGACTCCCTATCGCGTGTACTTGTGCACTCCCCTTGACCTTGTAATTTGATATTTCAACTGTTAACAAGATTCATTTTCACACTTGGCCTGCCTGAAGATAGAAACATCAGGTAGTGGGAGTAACTAATATATTTGATTGAGATAATATCAGAAAGAGACCTAACCCACCCAAGAAATTTGATAACATTACTTTACATCAGAGAATACACCTTCACCACAACCTGGGGTGGAAGATTGATCGCATTGATGGGATGATTGACGTGTAAGCTCCGACCAGATAGCTTCTGCAAAATGATGCAGTCTCCTTAATGCTCCCCCACATCCCTAAAAAGCTGTAAAAACAATTCATTTTTCTATTCTTAAAAAAAAAAAAAAAAAAAAGGATTTCTTGAATTTTCTTGATATTTGCAATGCCAATATATTCTTGAAAACTTCAATTTCTTTGATTCCTTAAAATATGCATTTTAGAATACCAATGTAGTAACTTGAAAAAGACAACAAGTTCTTGGTTTTTTCTTAAATCAAGAATTCCAAGTTCTGGAATTTACCTTCGAAGAATAGCAAGATAAGAGTAGCGAATCTTGGCAGTAGCGTATGAAGCTCATAAGAGTTTTAATCGGACATCGTCGTCACTGGAGAGTTAAGCGCCGGTAGCGTATGAAGTTCATAATAGTTTTGATCGGACATCGTCACCGGAGAGTTAAGCGCCGGTAGCGTAGAACTTCAGCAGAGTAGCGTATGAAGTTCCGGTTTTCTGTAATTAGAAATAAGGAGGAGATAATACCTCTATTTATAGGGCATGTTTGGAAAAGCCTCTCTACACGGGGAAACGGAATAAAAGTAAAAACTAATATTGACTCAACTCTTTTTAAAATATAAATCAATTTTTTTAATAATATTATTTAAGAATATATGTTTATTAATTAATATATTTTATTTTTAAAAACAATATGTATCTTAAAATTTTAATTTGATATCATTTATAAAGGTCCTTATTTGTCTATTTCAAAATTTCAATTCTAGATAGTAAATTTTTATTTTTGAAATTTAATATACCCTTATAATTGCACTTGTGATTACATTGTGACAAATAAACATATCATCGTGATTACTATTAGATGGTTTTTCCAACAGATCCCTAATATTAGATGGTTTTTCAAACACCCCTAATATTAACGTAATATATTAAATTATACTATTGATAATGTGAAATTTATTATCACACTATAACTTAAATTATTTAACTTGTGCAATTTTATAGATCGATTTAGAATATAAAATTTATAATTCAAAATTTTAATCATAAGTTGTGACATTATAAATTAATATAAAAGATTTCTTAAAATAAAATATAGAATTTAGGTAACAGTAACTATATTTCGAATTCATAGCTGCCTTATGACTCCAATGACAAGTAAAACCACAAAGTACTAATAATTTCTTTATGGGTTTTAGGATTCATTGCTACTTTTTCTGTTTCAATTTATATAGGGGTCCTATGAACCTTAAAGTTAGTTGTATCATTACTAGGCTGCTAAAATGAGAATTTTAAAGTTATCGTACAGTTTTTTCTTTGTTGCTTGAAAATATGATTTTAACTTGAATGTTCTCTAACTTCGTGTCTAAGTTGCCATTCTTGTTTGAATGTCAGCACATGGTAAAGCAACACCCTCCTTAAAACTCCAACTTTTCAGAGTTCATGTTGATAGTCACCATATTTGATCAATTAGACAGTGTTTACCTGTGTCCTGGTTTAGATGGACTACAGCATCAAGCTATTTTTTTTTTTCTCGTTTGTTCTTTGGCCTTTTAATGTAGGTTTTTAAATGATTTTCTGTTTCAAATGTTGAATACTATAGTGCAAAGTAAACAGACCTAAGCGATGAGACACAAGATGGGTGCTGAAACAAGCAGACGCTTTTGCAAGGACTGCATCTGTTTCTGAATGACAGTAGTGTCCAAACCAACCTGCACACTTAATTGATATCTGTTTTGACCAAGATCTGTATAAAGGTTCTAATTTCTTTATCGTTCAACCAAAGAAGCAGAGCACAAGAAAGAAAAAATAAAGGAGATCAATATTTCCCAAATACCTAAATAATATTCGCACGTCAAAGAACGTGAAGCTAAAATTTATATACTCCATAAAAATGAGACACTCAGATAAGATGGCACTGCAAGTTTGCAGACACCATATACAATCCAGCAAGCCTCAAAATGATACAGCATCTGATCGGAAACACTTATTGCCAGCATCAGAGGACAGGCTACACGCAGCGCGTGAAGCTTACATTGGCCACAGTTCCACCAAGCATTGCCTTCTTCACATTTGATTTAAACAACTCGGGATTATCTCTCAACACAGCAGCAGCCTCGAGATTAAGAGGATCCTCATGGTTTGGTTCCTGCACAGGTGTAGAACAGGATAAAGTGACTGTATACTCGTTAAATATATATATGTGTGACAGATTAAGATGTTGCAGAGAACCATACTGTACCTCGAAAAGAAGATATAATCCATAGATAATTGTGTTAATGTTGAGAACAGGTTTCCAATCTTCTCTAAGTACGTTGAGGCATACATTACCCTCCAAATCGATATTAGGATGATATACCTGCATCTCACGCAGAAAGCTAATGAGAATCATTTTCTCTGGTGCATGTCAGAATATATATACGAGTGGAAGACAAGGAAAAAAAGCTCTACCTTGGTCTTGCACTTGACTTTTGGTGGTTCATGTGGATAGATTGATGGAACCTGGAAAGAGAACAAAAAATTTCCTCCACTGCAACAACAAAACCAGGTTTGTTTGGATGAGAATCGACACGATTGTGCAGTCATTACATTAACTGAAAACTATCAGCTGTGCAGTAGGAAACTAGGAATTACTTACGCATAGTATCCACCATCTGGCTGAATTTTAATCTCAAAGTTCATCAACTTATCCTTTCCATCTGGAAATGATATTGTACAAGAACGAGGCAGGTTCAGCTCAGTAATGTCTGCAAAAAGTGAGTTGAAGGGGGTAAGTCTCAGGTGAGAGTGTTTCACTATAACAAAGATTGAAAGGAAGTCTCATATGAAACAACCTCATGATAGACCACGAAAAGAATAATACAGTGAAATACTGCAATCACAGTCTAGCATTCTCAAACAAATTCAGACACCCCCAACAAAAAAATACAAAATGAGAAAAACAACATTCTTGATCAATCACGCATTGTATTCGTACTTGAAAGAGAACAGGACTTGTATATGTTGAGCATAGTTGTTCATGTAGTAATAAAAAATAACACTGCTCATAAATCTCAATAATATCCTTCTTGGAATGCATAAAGTAATGAGATCATCAGCATCTTCCTTCTCTTTTTTTAAGGCAAAATCTTCTACTCAGAAGTCGAGTAGTTATTAATGCTGGAAATCACGAACACTACATGTTCACAGACAGATAATTTCCATAATTGACATCAGTTTGCTGATGCAATTCACATCCAGCTGCACTCAGTCTACAATATATTTTCATCCTCCTGGGACTGGAGGCCTAGATTTGACATTATAGACAAAATTAAACTACATAAAAGTTGCCTGGATGATTTCAAGCACTATGTACCAGCTAATAGAGAATCTAGCAAATCTTCCAATAGGGTGTTTCTATTCTCTGCATTAGTATCTCTAGACTAGGTTTAGAGATTAAACTATCTATTGTCATGAGTTTTCCAATTAAGTGATCTATGGAGTTCCTTTCTCCAAATCAGTGGCGGATCCAGGATTTTAAGATCATGGGTGCTCACTTCTTAATATAAATGTATAATTATTTTAATTAAAGTGAAAATAAAAGTCTTATTATTAAAAATAAGACTTCTAGTCATAAGTTACCGAGTGAACTACAATTAATATTAATATATATATTTATTTATTTTATTTTATTTTTTAGAAAAAGAACCTTCTAGTAGTACGATTCTCGACGACCTTTCATATTTTGAAGATATTGAATAATTGTATCATATCGCAAATTAACAATTACAAATAGTTACGCTCTGAAGTTTTAAAAGCTTAAGTTTTTTTGTTGTAATAAATGAGATATAGGAAATTAAAAAAGTGAAAAAATAAACTAAACAAAAAATTTAAGATTGAAATGTTAAGCGGAAAAAAGGGCGAAGATTGAAAAAAGGAAAAAAGAAGAGAAAATGTCTAGTAATATATGAAAGACGTTAGTAACAAAACTGAAAAAAGTCAATGCTTCAACCGAGATTCGAACCCCCAAACTCCCGCGTGCTGAGCGCTGGATATTCAGCTTCCAAACCAAAGCAGCTAAGACACCTTATTATTCCTGGGTGCTCAACTATTTAATATACTAGTTTTAAAAAAAAAATTGTCTAACTTTACGCATTACGCGTTGAGATCAGTGGGTGCTCGAGCACCCGAAACCTACAACGTAGGTCCGCCCCTGTCTCCAATGAGAAAATTTCAAATTC